TCTTCTTGCTCATTCATAGATTCCATTGCTCCAGCGTACTCAGAAGGTGGAATCGACACTACTCCACAAATGTCTTCTAGAGATTCCTCGAACCCACTCTCGAAACAGTTTGTTATCATGTATTCCTTTTCTTCCAAGAATTTTCTAGAAGACTCATCTTTTTGAGGCACTGGAATCGAAAATCGATTTTGTTTGAGACCTTCGAATGTAACTTTTATCATCCTATGTTGCCTCCTCCACTGAGTTTTAGTTAGGCTATTGAAAGGGTGTTTTGCACCGCGCCCATAATTTCCAGGCATATTTAGAAAGGTTTTAGGCGTCCTTTGGAAGGTAGGTCTCGAATAATTCATGATTTGTTTTCCTCGACCCACTCCTATAGTGTGTCTTTGTGCAGTGTTCCACTTCCTAATTGGAGAATTTACATTTGGAAAAACGGTGTTACCAAATTTGGATGAATTATGCATTTCATTTTTTCCATAGGGGCCTTGTATTGGGGCATATGAATTTGCCTCATGGTCAATCCAGTATTTTCTCTTGCCCTTTCTCAGAGCTTTTCAGCTTTGTAACTCTTCAACATTTCAGATTCTTCGAAGCCTTTAGCAGAAGCCCTATTGAACACAATGTTGCATCGAGGACACAGCATAACTTCTCGATCAGTGTCTTTTTTCTTGGAAAGGAATTTGACCAAGCTATCACCTTCCTTAGGGTAAATAGTTTCCTCTTCCTTTGCGAAATCATCTAAAAGTTCCTCCAACTTCTCATCCGAAATAGGCTCAACAGTTTTGTCTTCATCCACGTTGACTTCTACCATGTTAATTCCCATTGAAACGGGTTCTACATATCCAGTATTGTTGCAAACGGATCAGTATCTACCTTCATATCCTTTTCTTCGAAGGTGAGGCGAGCCTCAGCAATTGCCTTTTCAATCATATCCCTAAAATGTACACAATTGTTAGTCTAGTGACCATACATATTATGATATTTGCAAAACTTTTTCCCTTTTCTTTGTTCGAGGGGAGGAATTTTGTAGTTTTCTGGGAGTGTGGTTTGTTTGCCTTTTAGTAGAATATCGAATATCTTGTCAGCTTTGGTTACATCAAAACTATATTTTCTGTTTGTACACATTTCTATGTTATCTCCTGGTTTTAACATTTGACACTAATACGTAGGGTCGGGTTGCAACTCAGCTATATAAACCTCAAAATCCTCACTTACATTATCACAACTGGTATCATCTTTGATTTCAACATTATCTAAATAGTCTACTTTTTCCTTCTGAACAAACCTATCAAACTTTCTTAATTTTTCTTTTTCGGCCTTAATTTGTTCGATTTGTCTTACTTTTTCTACTAATTGAGCCATATCTCTAAGTTGTTCATTCACAAGTTTTTTACGAATAAAAAAATCTAACCTTGTGGCGGCTATTTTAACCAATTCATGTTCAGGTATGTTGGTATAATTAACATCGAGATTTTAATTGCCTGAACCTATTCAGGTAATCGTCTAATGACTAATTATGTTGTCTCTTTACATTCATTAGGTCAACTATACTCACTTTTGTTTCTCCTCGAAAGAAATGCTCATGAAAACCCATTTCCAGTTGTGTCCATGTAATAATTGAATTAGGTTGTAATGTTGTAAACTAGGAAAAAGCATGTTTAGTTAGAGAACTCAGGAAGTATTTCATTTTTAGATGTTCACTACTTACCAAGTCTCCACACTCGACCAAGTATCTTGCCATATGCTCTACAGTGGATTCACCGAATTCCCTTGCAAAGTTTGAGAATTTGGGGACTTTCAACCCCCTAGGTAGTTCGGATTGGTTTATATATTCCGGGAAGGCGGATACAAAGTAAGGATGCTCGTTTCGTCCTACTTCGACACCATACCTATTCAACACCCTCTTTACTATTTGATCTAGATCTTCTTCGAGGTTTCTATGAGGTCTTCCTAGATTAAGAGGCATTCCATTACTGACGCGATTATCCATTTCATTCAAGTTTGCACTCATGGCTCTCGAAGGCTGGTTATCCCCACATTTATCACCTATTTTATTTATCAACTCGTATAAAGGGGTAAGCATATTATGCATCTGAGTTGACAAAAAATTCTCCATGTCATGATTACTATGATCCATCTGTTGTCGAAGAGTTATCATAGCCTAATTACTTATATTTGTAGGTATATAGCTACTCTATCGAACTAATGACCCTTCTTGACTTGTGCCCACATGTTGGTAAGAGTCTTGCATGATGAAATCCATTCCATTTGGGGCAGCATTATACCCTTGTGGAGGAATATGCATTTGTGTATTTGGCCCAGGATAAGGCATTGACATCTCTACATGTATGGGCTAGGTAGTTCTCCAATTTGAAGGCATGCCCCACGGGTACTCTCGAGTCTCATTCACAAGTTCTTGTGACGCATTTGTTGGTCTTAGAGTACTAGCCACATTTTCAGGAGGTACAGGAGGCGAGGTTGCCCCCCTTGTTACAATTGTTACATTTTCTTGATTAGGATTCGTATTTTCTATATCTACCTGTTCTTCATTATTCATCTCTCTCCTACTAGACGTAGACATAGCTATCCCATTCCTAAGTCTTATAAAAGATACCTAAAACTAGTTTAATTATGTTTGTTAGCAAACCGATCCCACCGGCGTGCCAATTTGTTTGTGAGGGATTTAGTATGTGGACTCTTTTTATACGAACTAACAAAGATGTTTTCAATTTAGGTATGTGCAAATTAAGTGAAGGTTATACAATGCAATTAACATACGTTGATTTCCAATTATTCATTGATAGTTATCACAAGACAAGTCTCATGCATGCAAATATTTAAATGAATTGAGTGAACAACATAGATATCAATAACAGAAATCATGATAAATCTACTAGTGATTGTTGAATTACAATCATGAAGACCCTAGAAGGTTACAGAAAACTACAAGGAACTACACTACTTTACAATGACTTATTCTAAGAAAAGAAAAAAAATGGCCGAGAATTCATACTCAGTGATCTCATACCAAAGAGCCATAAGCACAGGTAGTGAGTGCTTGTGAGAGCTTCTAAGCATGATTTTCTAACCCCTCGGGTTGAGATCCTTCCTTTTATTTATACACTTTGAATGAGGGGTAGTTTCGTTAATATGTTGTTTGTCGTGGTATGTGTAACCATCCCCCACTATGTGGTCCTAAGTAACTTCCCTCAACTGCTTCTAACTACATATAACCGTTGCCACGTTCTTTTGATTTTTTGCATAGCTCTTTCGGTAACGGTTATCGTTCGTTTATTATTCTTCTTTTTGTGTAACCTCTTTGAAGCATCCAAAACTGCTGGTAACCTCCTTGTTTCTTCAATTCTCGAATATCCCTTCTCTCGTATTTTGGTCGGAACTTTCCTGCTATTCAAGAAGTTCTTTGCATACTGGCTGACCATCCTCGCGTATTCTCGGGTAGCTCGTTTTCAAACACCCCAACAGAGGGCTAGCAGTTAACATTAATTAAAAAAAATTGATTATAATTTATAACCAAAATATCTGGGTAATCATTTTCAAGTTAAGCTTTTGATTATAAAGTCAGGCTAATGAAAATGTGGCTATGTGAATTTCGATTGTCATTTGAAACTTTTTTTAGCATTTAAAAATGGTGATTTTTAAATTCGATATTTGAAGTTAAGAAAGGTGATTCAAGAATATTATTTTCAATTGAAGTATGACTTTATTATTTTTAAAATTTTAATCAATATTTTGAAGTCAAAATCGAAAATCTGTTGTTAAAAAATATTGATCGAATACAACGTACAATTTCAATTCGTGACTTTCGGTAAAGGTCAATGTTAGCTTCTGTACCACCCACATCGGCACTAACTCCTCGGCTAAAAGCATTCAGAACTCGGGAGACTAGTGTACCGCCCACATCGGCACCAAGGCTCACCCTGACGACGATGGGCTTGGACCATGCCAACTCGAAAGGTCGGCCCATCTCTCCAACAAATAAAATAAGCTGATAAGAAGGAGATCTTATCATATCCTAACCAACTCAATTATCAACAAGGGAAAAACCCTAATTATATCAAGGTACGTGCATTATATATATGAGACTCATACACCCACAAAGACTAACTTAAGCATTGGAGTCTCTTTTGTAGGTGTCAACCCCATCTCGGAGCAGCAGACGTACCGAGTAGAGGAGGCTCACCGATCTAACCCAAAGATCGTCTCACCCACCGATCTCAAGTAAGAACAGTTTGCCGCCCACCGTGGGGCCGAAGAAAATATTCCCTTCGGCCACAACAATGGTTTCCACCCGCAGCAACAACAGGCCGCCCACCAATGCTCTAAACAACGAGCCCAACAAGGACGGAGCCATCGCCGTTGAGACCCTGGCCGAGCAAATCGAGATCCTGCGATAGCAAAATGCGCCCACCATAGCTGCCATGTGCGCACAACACGAAGTTGACATCGTGACTGTGCGAGCTGAGAACAACTGCATCCGAGCGTAGATTCCTTGACGGCCACCATCAAATAATCCCCCCGAGGACGAGCACTAATCACCCTCCCCACCTCAGACGAATCGATCACATGCCTCAACGCCTTGTAGAACCGCGAACATCAACCATGGGCCATTCCAGACCTCGGGTCCAAGGATCGGCACGAGGCGAAACCCTTTCGCCGATGCCTCCCACATCGATGGAAGCCACTAAACATTGACCGACCGATATGAGGGCACCTCGGACCCGGATGGGCATCTGGACGCGTACATCACCCAGATGAACCTGTACACCGATGAAGATGCCATCTTGTGCCGTGTGTTCCCTACCTCCCTAAAGGGCCCCGCTCTGAACTATTACACCCAGCTACCTCCAAGATTGATAAGCACCTTCGACGAGCTCTCGCTCCGATTCACAGCTTAGTATGCCACCAACCGCCCACATCATATCACCTCTGCTACCTTGGCCAACCTCAGGTAGGGCGACACCGAGTCCTTTCGCAAATTCATGGAACACTTTGCCAACGTGTCTGTGAAGATTCAAAACCTCAACCCCGAGGTCGCACTGCACTCCATGCTTATGGCACTCAAACCAGGCCCTTTCGTTGATAGTCTCTACAGAAGACCACCCAACGACATTGACGATCTACGGGCACGGGCTGCCAGGTACATACAGATGGAGGAGCATGCCGAGTTTCGCAACAAAATACGCGCAAAACCAGGCAATGGTAGCAACACCAGCCATAAAGAGAAACTCAAGGTCTCCAACGAGACCAACCTCAAACGATCATGCCAAGGTAAAGGACCAAGGTACAATTTTACACCCCACTAAACACACCTCGCGTCCACATCCTTGAAGAGGTGGCTAATACCGATCTCATCTCCCTACCACCTTTGGCGCACACCTCGGCAAACGTCGACAAGTCCAAGCACTTCCGGTACCATCGCAATTTCGGCCAAACTACAAAAGAGTGTTGGACACTGCGCGACAAAATCGAAGAGCTCGTACAGGCCGGTCATCTAGGACAATATGTCCAACGATCCCAAGCCAACAGAGGAGGGCACACCAGACGGGGATGCGGAAGAGGGCGAGGATATCACTCTTGCCACGATCAAGCTATCGGGTCCAAACCCAACACCAGGCACGCCGACCAGCCAGAGCCCAACTTAGAACCCAACCAGGCCCTTCTACGAGGTGTAATCAACACCATCGCCAGAGGATTTGCAGGGGGAGGCGCCAACAACTTGGCCCGCAAGCGACATCTTCGTAGTGTCAACCATGTCCAAGGTTGATCAACAAGCCACACGCCACAAAACCCTCCTATCACCTTCATCAACGAGGACTATACCGACATCAACCCAAACCAGGACGACCCAGTTGTCATCTCTATCAAGGTCGCAAACTGGGTCGTTCAAAAAAACTTTAATTGACTAGGGTAGCTCGACCGACGTCCTCTACTGGCCCACCTTCCTCTAGCTAGACATACCACACTCACTAATCCAACCTCACCACGAGCCCCTAGTCGACTTTGCTGGGGAGCGTGTCCACACTAGACGATATGTCGAACTTTTGACCACCTTTGGAACATCGCCCTCAGCTAGGAGAATCATGGTCAAGTACCTCCTTATTGACGCCTACACCTCTTATAACATCATCGGCTAACCCACCTTAAACCAGTTGGGTGTAGTAGTGTCAACCCCACACCTTACCATGAAATTCCCTGGACTTAACGGCGACATCATCTCCGTCAAAGCAAATCAAAAAACTGCATGTCAATGCTATGCGGAAAGCCTTAAGGCCTCCACCCAACGCCCCGACCAGCCATCCCCAGCAATAGTGGCTCACATCACCAGCCCAGCACTGGCCGACCTGGACCCCCGATCTGACTGCACTGATCAAAGGCCAAGTCCAGTCAATGAGCTCGTAGAATTCCAAATCAGCCAAAACCCAGGTCAATGCACCAAGGTCAGCCAAAACATAAGCCCCGAGCTACACCAGCAAATAATCACCAAGGTACGTAAAAATGCTGGCCTATTTGCTTGGTCAAGTGCTGACATGCTAGGGATTAGTCCCGATCTCATATGCCACAGGCTAGCCATCCGTAAAGAAGCAAAACGCATAGCACAACAGCGGCGTAAAATCGGAGGAGAAAGGTGTGATGTTGTAGCCAAAGAAACTCGAAAGCTACTGGATGCAAACTTTATACGAGAGATCGTCTACACCACCTAGCTTGCCAATGTGATGCTGGTCAAGAAAAACTCGGGCAAATGGCGTATGTGTGTCGATTATACCAACCTCAACAAGGCGTGCCCAAAGGATGCTTACCCACTACCAAGCATAGACAGATTGGTAGATGGGGTGTCCGGTCATACTCTCCTCAGCTTCCTCGATGCCTACTCAGGATACAATCAGATCCCGATGTATCCCCCAGACCAGTACAAAATGGCATTCATCACTGAACATGCCAACTTTTGTTACCGAGTAATGCCATTCGATCTCAAAAATGCTGGCGCAACCTACCAAAGACTAATGGACAAGGTCTTCCATCAGTAGATCGGCAAAAAACATGGAGGTTTATGTTGATGACATGGTCATAAAAACCACCTCGACTAGATCACACATAGCCAATTTGGCCGAGGTGTTTGGAGAAATAAGGAAGCATAACATGAGGTTGAACCCCGAGAAGTGTGCATTTGGAATACAAAGAGGAAATTTCCTGGGCTTCATGATCACCAGTAGGGGAATTGAGGCGAACCCCAAGAAGTGTGAAGCCATCATTAACATGAAGTCCCCCTAGACGTTAAAGGAAGTGCAAGGACTGGAAGGTCAGTTAGCCTCCCTCTCACGCTTCATACTAAAGCTAGCAGAGAAGGCAAAGCCAATCTTCAACCTACTACGAAAACCCAAGGAATTCGCCTGGACTGAGCAATATGAAGCCGCATTCTCAGCCTTCAAGCAATTCCTCACCACCCCACCAATCTTAACTCGACCTAAGGACCAAGTTGAGTTACTTCTGTACCTCGCAGCTACTGACGGCGCTATCAGCGCAACCCTCATACGAGAAGATGGGACAAAGAAAGACCCGATATACTTCATCAGTCGTGTCCTCCAAGATACGGAAATGAGGTACCAAACCATTGAGAAGTTAGCCCTAACTCTTGTCACTGTCGCCCGATGACTCCGGCCATACTTTCAAAGTCACCAAATCATCGTCAAAATCGACTACCCCATCAGATAGATACTCTAAAAACCCGAACTCATCGGACGTATGATTGCATGATCGATCGAGTTGTACGAATTCAGAATTCGGTACAAAAGTAGGGGAATAGTCAAGTCCCAATGTTTGGCAGATTTTGTAGCCGAATTGACCCCAGTCACCTCAGGAGATCAAGAAACTTGGACACTACACGTAGATGGCTCCTCCAACCTGAAAGGAGGAGGCGCTGACATCATCCTGGAAGGACCCAACGACATCCTTGTCGAGCAATCTCTAAAGCTCGCCTTCCAAGCCACCAATAACCAAGCCGAGTATGAAGCACTCTTAACCAGACTGAGATTCCGAACCCTAGGAGAATTCACCTTAATCCTACTTATTGAAGTGAGCTTTCCTTTTCTCCTTAAGCTTGGATGCTTCCATCCATAGCCTAGGACACCTTAATTCCGAAAATCCTCCTCCATTCAAGTGTTCTTACATTTGGTTCAAGTCTTCTTGAAGAGAATCCGTGCATAGGTGAAGCTAAGGAGAGGAACACCTACCACTTCTCCTTCCTTTGCCATCAATTAATCATAAAAAGTCATGAAATAAGGCTCTTGTTGGGTGAGCTAAGCTCTTTGGAGCTTTTCCATGGGGGAGATTACTCTCCCTCAATGTAGGAAACACTTAGTGACTTTTCTTGTTGGGTGGACTTTTGGATCATTGGGTGGCCAAACTCCTCTAGAGCTCGTCGCTGGGCAACCAAGAGCTTACTAAGTGGACAAAAACCCTTGTGATTCCTCTCACTAAGCAATTATAGCTCGTTGGGCGAGCCTATGAATTTAATCATTTTATCGCTAGGCGATGCTTCATGACTAAGGAAGGTCATGATTCTAGGCAACTGTTCTTCAACTCATGAACATGAACTAGGCATTGTATCATTTCGATGGGAGAGAAGAAGGTTTTAAACAATGGAGAAACGTCTTTTCTCATAAAACCCAACCATCACTCAACATAAATCCAACATGCAACCTTCATTATATCATTTACACATTTGATACAAAATTCAGAAGAAAACCACATGCATTAACAACAAGATCCAAGATCATCGTTCATTCTTCAAAACAACATAAGCAACCAAAAACCTAAAGCATTTGGGTTTTTACTTCTCAATTCAATACTAAAGCCACCAATGAGCCAAACAATGCACTAATCAATGTATGCAACACACATAAAAAAAATATCTATCAACTTCCCTTACCACAATTACTCCTAGAAACAAGGAAAGAAAACCTAAGAAACTTCTAAGTCTCCTATGTCGACTTTTGTCTCTGACCCTCAGCTCCTCAACTTTAAATCTTTACTCAAGCACAACATAAACTAGTTTAGGGAAGAATCTGAACACTCTTATAAATTTAGAAGAAGGAAAAATATTCTTTAGCTCCAGAGCCCATCTTTCTAAAATTTCTCTCTAAACCTTGGAAAAATGGATTTATGAAACTCAAGTTTCTTGAAAACCTTGTATACCACTTTTTGTTTTTGGTCAACTTTGACCTCAACACTAAAAAATTATAAATAGCTAAACTCATAAAAATTTCATAATCTTTAGAGTTCTAAAAGGATCATATAACATGCAATATATAAAAAGGACACAACTCACACCATAGCGTTACAAAAAAAATTAAAAATAACTATAATAAATTTTAACACTAAATTAGAGGTAAATTTTATTAAAATATAGAAAAAAGAAATTTGTAATTAACTTTTATATGTGTTACAACTAAATATAATAAAAAAAATATTATTATATATAATGAAAATATCTCAAAATTATTTAAAATAATGATGACCTATAATAATATACAAAAGGGATATCCCTTTTTGGTACCCACTTTTTCAAAGACAATTATATCCTTGTGTGTATGTTACTTTTTTTTTTTTGACTAATTTATACTTAAGGATAAAATACTATATATATATATATATAGGATTTTAATACCTTATACATTCTTATGAGCACTACAAGAAAAATGCAAATTATTGACGAATAATTTTTTATTGAAACAAATTTGTCAGAAAATTTATATTTCTAACGAATACAAATCTATTGAAAAAATTATATTTCTGACGGATATATATATCCAACGATAATTTTTGACAGACACAAATTTGTCGAAAAATTTATATTTCTGATGAAAAAAATTCGTAGAAAAAGTTATATAATTACCGACAGAATATTTCTGACGAATTTATATTTGTCGAAAATGTAAGAATTTCTGACGAAATTTTTTGATAGATGCCTAAGTCAAAATTTTCCAATGGAATGTTACTAACGGATAATGAAGAATCATACAGAGAAATTTGGGAAAGAAAGGAGCTCACAGACCCAGAGTCATTCTCTCTAAA